ACTTAATACTAAAATATGAAAAAGATGAAATTAAAGGACACAGGTTTAAATGAACATATTTTTGAATGTAATTGAGATATTGGCTTGAAATTTTTTGTAAAGGGTCGAGAATTTCCATATCTAACTAAAAAAAGATATTAAGGGATAAATATGGACTAAATTGTTGTAGCTATCTGCGACCCTATTAAAATTTTGATATAAATCATAGTTTTAGAAATTAAACAAATATGTAATATATGACAAAATCTTTATTTATGAACAAAACTCAATGAAATTTTCAACGCTAAATTTGTCGTTTCAAATAAGAAAATGCAAAAAAAATTGAAAAGGGCATCCCGCAATTCCCAAAAATAGGAATGAAAATCCCAAAAATGGGATTTTTTTGCCCATAGGGTCCACATTTCTTTCAGTGCTGGGAAAATACTTTTGGAGTAAATAGAAAACATATTGAGGTTTCCAAAACTGCTTTCAGTTTTCTGATCCCAGCTTTGGGATTTTAGAACATGTTGCCCAAAGTTTAAGTTTTGATAAAAAATAGGTCATATTCGGAAGGACGCAGTGGCAACATTTTCAAAAAATAGGACAAGTTTTTTACGCCAAAGCGTTCTGCGTAAAGATACCTTTTAGGAAACTATAAAATTGTTACATGTTCTTAAAGAAAATTTTATTTAATTATTAAAAGCGTTAAGACACATTTTTGACAAAAAAACGGCAAAAATCTAAAATTTTTTGAATTTTTAAATTAAAAAACGTATATTTTTGGATCTGTAAATGATATTGATCTGATTTTTTGTATATTATTGGAAATTTTGTTGTCTAACTAATAAGAAAAAATTGAGTCCATTTGGTCCAAAATTACGCCCGGTATTCAAAAAAAGGCGGACCAAGGTATGGTAAATTTTGTATCACTAAACTTTTAAATGCCTATAACTCGGATATTATAAGAGATAAGTAGTATGTCCAAGCAAGATCTCGTCGAGCGCTTTCAGAAAATATAAAAATCTTTTTTTTTATTTGGGTGAAAAACAAAAAAATGGCACGAGTTTAAAAATTTTACATGTCGTAGGTACCCTACTTTGAGCCGCCACAGCGCCGTCCCTGGGGCATCTGCAGGGTTCATCTTCAAAACTTAAACTCGAATACTCCTTGGCTACGCTCACGCCAAATTTTATCCCGATCGGATCAGCCGTTTAGAAATGCCAGATTTATTTCCAAAAAATTTCGATTCTGCCCCACTGTGCATATGTAAGTAAGTTTCTTACTAGGCATCACCTCTCTATTGTCTTTTATTACAATCGGCTCATAATAGAAATTCGAAAAAAGTAAGTTTCATACGAGCCAAAACCAATCTACTGACATTTATGAGAAACTGCATATGATTGACCCTACCCCATATATAAGGTTCCCTTCAGAAAATGACTTTAACGCTCATTACTTTCTTAAAAATACGAGTAAAGCTCTCTACCAAATTTAGTAAGAATCGGTCCATAAAAAAATTACTTAAACATTCATTTCTGGCTATGAGTTATGAAATTCGAAATAAAAAATTTTTATACGAACGTTAATCTTGCACATTCTAATGTGGAATGTGTCAGTAAATCATCCTACCCCCCATATAAACTCTCTTCAGAAAATTACTTTAACGCTAATATGTAGCTGATATAAAAATGCGAGTACAGCGATGATATTCAATGTAAACAAGTTTTATCGGTCTACAATATGTTATGAAGATCGCTCAATAATTGACCCTACCCATCATATAAGGTCCTCTTCAGAAAATTTGATGAGGATTCAGAAAATTACGAGTACCTATAGCAATGAAAATCGACATAAAAAAGTTTATACAAAACAAAATTTATGTATAAAATTTTATGAGTATCGGTTTATAATTGACGCATATATCAGAAAATTACTCTGCGCTCACGATTTAAAAATTTAACAAAAATATTTTGCAAAAAATAATATTTTGTTAGTTCAAAAGAGCCCAGTCCATAATTGACATAAGCCGGTACAGCCGAATATAGGACTCTCACTAATTACTTTTTATTTATGATTTATTAATGAGTGAATCATGGTTGGCAACCATTTCGAAACGGTGATAAGGTAGCGGTATCGGCATTTTGACTTATTTCGGTATTGGTATTTTAGCGTTATCGGTATTTTGGCTTATTTCGCTATTAGTATTTTAGCGTTAAAATATATTAGTCACTACAAACAACATATTAGAAATTTTGATGAAAAACCAATGAAATTTACATAAGCGTTTCATTGAAAGAATGTGGTTTATTTTTGACATACAAATATCGGATTTTTACATCTTCTAAAGATAAGATTAGATGTAGTTCAAAGTTGTCAAAAATGAACAACATCCCTCCAATGATACGCTAATGTAAAATTCATAGGTTTTTGATCAGAATTTGAAGCACTTCGGGTTACTAGTTGTGATGAAAATTCTACATCTTTTTCCACACTTTTTTGTATGATTTAAATAATTAAAAATATGTTCGTAAATGTATCAGCATACTTTTAAATAGAAGAAAATAACATTGGTATTATTGTTTTTCGTAGTTTTTAAAAAATTAAATTAAGAACAGTGTAATTCGATTTTTATTTCTTTAATTCATTCATTAATAAAACATATATAAAAAGTAACAAGTGAGAGTCTTATATTCGGCTGTGCCGAATCTCATATACCCATCATCAAACTGTACGCCGTAAAAGGAATTCCCCCTATAAACATCAGGATTTGGAATATGGCTTACGTCAACTATGGACCGAGCTCTTTTGAACTGACAAAATATTAATTTTTGCAAAATATTTTTGTTAAATTTTTAAATCGTGAGCGCAAGGGTAATTTTCTGAAGGGGGCCTTATATGCGTCAATTATAAACCGATACTCATAAAATTTTATACGTAGATTTTGTTTTGTAGAAATTTCGTCGATTTTCATTGCTATACTCGTAATTTTCTGAATCCTCATCAAATTTTCTGAAGAGGCTAGGGTCAATTATTGGCCGATCCTCATAACGTATTGTAGACCAATTTTTGTTGATACTTGTTTACATTAAATATTAACGCTGTACTCGCATTTCTATACCAGCAATTAGCGTTAAAGTAATTTTCTGAAGGGGGCTTATATGGGGGGTAGGGTGAGTTACCCACACATTCCGCATTAAGAATGTGCAAGATTAACATTCGTATAAAGGTCCAAACACATACAATCCTTTACGACGAACTGCGACTGACAGCTCATGTTTACTGTATGTATTTAAATGAGAGCGGTCATAATCAATACGTCAAACTTGTGCACGAAGTAAAAAAGTTGAAAAATATTTAACTTTGGCGTACGAAAAAGAAGAGAAAGAGAAAATGAGAACAAAAACAAAACTGTCAATATTATTGTTTGTCTTTTTTGTTGTGTATAATTATGATTTGTGTGTGTGCGAAACACACCATTTTTAAATTAAATATTTTTTACATTAAATATTTTATATTGAATATTTTTTATATTATTAAAACATATTTAATTATTTGTTCATACTTTATCAACGCAACGATTGGACATCACTTCTTCTATGTTGCGTAGCTGTCAGTCGCAGTTCGTAGCAAAGTATTGTATGTGCTTGGACCTTATAAGTTTCTTATGTCGAATTTCATAACTCGAGTTTTTAAGCCAGGACCCAAATTATGCCATACGATATCGATCGAAATCTCAATAGAATATAAATGGAGATTTCGATCGATATCGTATGCCATGATTTGGGCCCAGCAATGAATGTTTAAGTAATTTTCTGAAGGGGACGTTATATTGGGGGTATAGTCTATTATGGACCGATTCCCACTAAATTTGTTAGATAGATTTTGGCTCGTTTGAAACTTATATGTGCCGAATTTAAACGCTTTACTCGTATTTTTAAGCCAGTAATGAGCGTTAAAGTCATTTTCTGAAGGGGACCTTATATGTAATATAAGTAATGTAATGGGCGTTAAACTAATTTTCTAAATGGCACCTTATATGGAGTGTAGGGTCATTTATAAACCGATCCTCAAAAAAATTTGGTAGAGAGATTTAGGATCGCTTGAAACTTATGTGTGTCGCATTTCATCGCTATATTCGTCTTAGCCCCTGTTGCCGCTACTCCTAATTGAGTACCGCCTTATTAAACTCTATTAATTTAACATTAACATCTTTTATTTAACATTATTATTTTTTGCTATTTTACTTTTTATATAAATGCGCTTATGTAGATCCACACATACAAAATGTATTTTTTGGTATGTAAAAGGAATAACGGTCAATAAGTTGAAGTCACGTAGTCAATCTATTAAAATATGTCTTTTTATTGTTTAAATATATAAACGACACATTCTTATAAGAAGCAGAGACCGGTTCATTACAAAATTATTTTAAAGCGCATCTCTTCTTATTTTATAAATTAATAAAAACAAACTGAATTAATTACTGAAATAAATGGAAAGTGTTTTAAATTTGTAATTATTTGCAGTGATATTCTTTAAAATAATTTTGCTTGTAATATTGTTAACTTAACGCGCAAAAATGACCGATTCTCATAATAATAATGCAAATAATTGTAAAAAGTGTTCCGAAAAAGACACCGATGAGATGGTTCAATGTGACGAATGTGATCAATGGTACCACTACGGATGTGTTGGAGTAAACAACAACGTGGCCAACGAAAGCTGGAGTTGCGAATATTGTAGAGGGGCATCATCTATAGCTCACGCAGTTCATGTTACCCACTCGTCAACACCTACAACTGATATGGCACAGCCAGTACACGTTTTAGGAAGTGCAGAAAGTGTTACATGCCCTCCTTCTACAACAACCACAGCACCACCACCATTTCATATGCTATGCCACCGTTATCCACGATTTACTCAGCTCCGATAATGTCATACCTGCCACCCTCGACATGGCAGAATAGTTACCATCCATCGACACACATATTCACTCAACCATATAATTTTTTTCACTCCAATTTTTCGCAAATGCAAAGTCAAACACCTTCAACTACAAACGCACAAAATTTCGACAGTATTGCAAGGCAGCGAGATTTAGAACTTCAAAAACTTGAAGAAGAAATGCAAATTAAACGGCAGTATGTGGAAACAAAATATAAAATATTATCTGAGACAAATGAAACACCAAAAGCACACAGGCAAGTAAATTCATCAAGTTCGGGACCAACTTTGACGTCAGTCACAAATTTAGAACCAACAGCAGCACAGTTAGCAGCAAGACAGTCTATTCCAAAACAGTTGCCAACCTTTAACGGAGATCCAGATGATTGGCCATTGTTCATTAGTAGCTTTGAAAACAGTACGTCCTTGGCAGGTTACACAGACGCTGAAAATTTGATAAGGCTGCAATCGGCTCTCAAAGGTAAGGCTCGCGATATGGTGAAAAACAAGCTGCTAGTGCCACAAATGGTGCCTGAAATCATTCGGACACTACGTATGTGTTTTGGCAGACCTGAACACATCCTGGAGCGCGTTATTTCGAAAGCCAAGAATATGCCACCGATTAAAGATAAACTGGACACCCTAATTGAATATGCGATGTGTGTACGTAATATATGCGCAACGATGGAATGTTGCCAGATGCAATCCCACCTCAACAATCCTTTACTAGTAAAAGAGCTAGTCGACAAACTTCCAAACAACCATAAATTGACCTGGGCGATGTGTTACAAAGATGATCGTGTTCCCATTACAAAATCATTTAGTGATTGGTTGTATTATATGGCGGAAGCCGCTAGCAACGTTACTCCGTTGTTTGTAAAAAATGGAGCTTCAGTGAATACTCATAATCGTGATGAGGAGAGTAAAGAGTCCAGTGGTAATGAAATTAACAAAATCGCAGTAAGTACCACATGTATTGTATGCAATGACGGTAGCCACAAAGTAGCTCAATGTGACGTTTTTAAAAGCATGTCGTTAAATCGTAAGTGGGAATGTGTAAAAGCTAAAAACTTATGTCGACAATGCTTGGGAAGACATAGACACAAATGCAATATAAACAAAGAATGTGGGATAGATGGATGTAAATATAAGCACAATCCATTGCTGCATAAAATTGTTAACGTACAAAACACCACATCAAGTGCAGCACAAAGTGACCAACAAAATTCAGTACTGAATGCACACAGCAATAATTTCGATGAGTCCCAACCACTATTTCGTATAATACCCATAAATATACATGCTCAAAACAAAATTAAAAAAGTTTATGCATTTCTAGATGAAGGGTCTGCAGTGACACTAATAGAAAAAAGTATTTTTGAAGAATTGGGTCTTCAGGGTAAGAGTGAACCCCTGTGTTTGAGATGGACCGGCGACACCACTCGTACGGAAGATGACTCAGTAAAGGCAACAATTACTATATCGAGTGTTACCAACAATAAACAATTTAAGTTGAACGCAGTTCACACTGTAAATAATTTGGGGCTTTCGCCACAAACTATCGACGCCGATGAAATTTCAAGAAGATACCCATATTTGTCGAAGCTACCAATACAATCGTATAGCAATGCTATACCAGCAATACTGATTGGTGCCGATAACTGGAAATTAGCCGTCCCTCTTAAAATACGAGAAGGCTCTTGGAATCAACCAATTGCATCTAAGACTCGGCTGGGCTGGGCCCTGCAAGGCAATAGAATGAAGGACACCGATGAATTCCGTATAAATGTCCATTTTTGCGACTGTCAAAAAAGGCTCCACGATATGGTAAAAGAAACGTTTAACATAGAATCAACTCGTCAAATGCAGCTGCTTTCTTACGACGACAACAAAGCTATGGCAATGTTAGAAAATACATGTAAAAAAGTCGATGGCCATTATGAAGTTGGTTTGTTGTGGCGCAACCAAAATATACGTTTACCAGACAGCTTTAATCATCGCCTGAACTGCCTGCAAAAAAAGTTCTTTAAAACCCCCTTATTAAAAGCAACTATACAGTCACAAATTGATAATCTCGTCTTAAAAGGTTATGCCAAAAAACTCACCCCGAAAGAACTAGAAGTGCATCATAAAAAGACCTGGTATTTGCCGATATTTGTTGTTTCAAACCCAAACAAACCAAATAAAGTCAGACTTGTTTGGGACGCCGCGGCGAAATCTAACGGTACATCACTTAATGATTATCTGCTGACCGGCCCAGATCTTTTAAACCCACTAGTAAGCGTTCTTTTAAACTTTCGTGTTGGAAAAACCGCCATATGTGGAGATATCTCAGAGATGTTTCATAGAGTGAATGTTAGAGAAATCGATATGCATGCCCAACGTTTTTTGTGGTATGACAAGGGAGATACACTGCATCAACCAAGCATTTATGTAATGAGAGCATTAATTTTTGGAATCAGCTGCGCACCTTGTATCGCCCATTTTGTACGCAACAAAAATGCAGACCTCTTTAAGAACACACACCCCCGAGCTGTAGAAGCAATACAACAAAATCATTATGTTGACGACTTTATCGACAGCGAATGTGACGACAACCAAGCGCTGGAATTGGCGATTCACGTGAGAGAAATTCATGAAGCCGGCGGTTTCAAGATGCACAATTGGACATCTAACTCAGAAGTTGTCTTAAAGGAATTACATGGAAGCGCACCATCTGAGCAATCGATGAAAGACTGGGGCTCAACCACTAAAATATTAGGTTTGTATTGGGACCCAAATAATGATGAATTTAGATATATTTGCAGATTTGCAAGATTACACCGTGATATACTAAATCAGTCATTGACACCGACCAAGCGCGAAACTCTACAAGTCCTGATGTCCATATTCGATCCCCTTGGATTTGTGTCCTGCTACACAATAGGCCTAAAAATACTTATTCAAGAAATATGGCGGACTGGTATAGCATGGGATGAGGAACTTACGGACACTTTAGACAAACGCTGGTGCAGTTGGAAGTCCACAATTCAACAAATAACGTCCATAAGAATACCTCTATGCTACTCCCCAACGATGCAGACAGCAGACGAAGTCCAACTGCATACTTTCGTAGATGCCAGCGAAAACGCTTATGCTGCCATATGTTATCTGCTCATCACGAAAAACAATGTTACAACTGTCTCTCTAGTTGCAGCCAAGAGCAAAGTGGCACCACTTAAACCACTCTCAATTCCAAAGCTCGAGCTGCAAGCTGCTCTACTTGGCACGAGACTTGCAAAAACTGTACAAGAAGTAAGACGAATAAATACTAACTCTCAATTTTGGTGGAGCGATGCAAAAACAGTTTTGAGGTGGTTACAAATAGACCCAAAAAAGTTTCAGCAATTTGTGATGCATCGTGTAGGCCAGATTCTTGAGAACACAAACGTCAACCAGTGGAGATGGGTTCCATCAAAACAAAATCCCGCCGACCTTGCCACCAAAGTACCAACTCCATCAAATACACAAATGTGGTTTCATGGTCCCAAATTTTTACGCTCCGATGTTAATGAATGGCCACAATGCGATGACTTGGGAATGGTAAATGAAACAGAAATGAAACGCAGCGCATTAGTAATTGAAAGCGTCCATAAGACTAAACTCAACATTGAATACTTTTCTAATTGGAAGCGTTTGTACCGTGCTGTAGCTACTTTCTTTTTGTACTGCCACAAGCTAAATAAATTAACAAAAGATAAAATTATAAACACAAACTTAGAAGTCGATTGTGCCATGATCGAAAAGGCAAAAACATTTTTAATGAGATATGCGCAGAATGACGAATACAGTAACGAAATATCTAGTCTGACACGTAATAAACTTATTGGGAAAACAAGTAAGTTGATCTCCCTTAATGTGTACCTAGACAAAATTGGCATTATTAGATGCAGGGGAAGAGCTGAGTACCTCAATAATCATGAGGACGCTATTGTGTTGCCCCCTAATCATCACGTGACATTTTTATTAGTACGTCACTTTCACGAAATGTTTCGTCATCAAAATCATGAAACAGCGCTAAATGAAATTAGAAGTGAATACTACATTCCAAAACTGCGTGTTCTGTTTAGAAAAGTACGGAGAATGTGTCAATGGTGCAAAATCAATTATGCCAAACCACTAGTGCCACAAATGGCTGCGCTGCCAATAGCAAGACTCGCTGCGTTTGAACGCCCATTTACCTATGTAGGCGTGGATTATTTCGGCCCGTTAAACGTTGCAGTTGGCAGAAGACATGAAAAAAGATGGGGTGTAATTTTCACCTGCCTAACAGTACGTGCCATACACATCGAGGTGTCACACAGTCTAGACACAAGTTCGTGCATCATGTCAATTAAAAATTTTATTTCTAGACGTGGCACCCTTAGAGAAATATATTCAGATAACGGCACCAATTTTAAAGCCGCTGAAAAGTTATTGTGTTGTCAACTAAAGAATGTTAATTCATCCATAATCCAGAAAAAATTAGAACAAATTAAATGGAAATTCAACCCTCCAGCAGCTCCCCACATGGGCGGAGCTTGGGAAAGGTTAGTCAAGTCAATTAAGACTGTTCTATATAGCATTTGCCCAACAATGAAATTTAACGATGAAAGTTTAAAATGTGCGTTATGTGAGGTAGAGTTTACGATCAATTGTCGACCACTCACGTTTGTTTCAATTGAATGTTGTGACGATGAAGCCATTACACCCAACCACCTATTGCTTGGCTCATCAAATGGCTATAAACCAATTGCAGATGGTAACATGGATCTTCGACAACGATGGTATAAGACTCAGGAGTTCGCTGATCAATTCTGGCGTAGGTGGCTAAAAGAGTATGTGCCCATAATCTCTCGAAGAAGTAAATGGTTTACAAAACAACCACCTATAAAAGTAGGCGATGTAGTCATTATTGTGGATTCAGATATGCCGAGGAATTGCTGGCCCAAAGGCGTAGTAGTGGACGTTGCGATTGCGAAAGATGGCCAAGTTAGAAGAGCGACGGTGAAAACTGAAAAAAGCATTCTACAACGACCAGTGGCAAAGTTAGCAGTATTGGATGTTGGCGGCCCTTCGAATAGTAAACTCGACCCACCTGACTCGTTTACGGAGGAGGGAACTGTTGCCGCTACTCCTAATTGAGTACCGCCTTATTAAACTCTATTAATTTAACATTAACATCTTTTATTTAACATTATTATTTTTTGCTATTTTACTTTTTATATAAATGCGCTTATGTAGATCCACACATACAAAATGTATTTTTTGGTATATAAAAGGAATAACGGTCAATAAGTTGAAGTCACGTAGTCAATCTATTAAAATATGTCTTTTTATTGTTTAAATATATAAACGACACATTCTTATAAGAAACAGAGACCGGTTCATTACAAAATTATTTTAAAGCGCATCTCTTCTTATTTTATAAATTAATAAAAACAAACTGAATTAATTACTGAAATAAATGGAAAGTGTTTTATTAAATAATAAAAGAAGTTAGGCGCTGTTAAAAATTTGTAATTATTTGCAGTGATAGCCCCGTTAACTCCACCTCTGGTTATCGTTTAGCCTATAAATATTCGGCCGGTTATAATATTTTTTTTATAAAAACAGTCAATTTAAACTTACGATAAAATATAACCAGACATTAAGATAATGGGGGTTATAATTTAATAAGGACCCAGAACTTATATACTTTTGTGGGTTTATGACCAATATTTCGATATGTTACAAATGACAAAATCAATATACCACCCATCTCTTTTGATGGTGGGTATAAAAAGAAGGTTGCCAATGTTTGAGAAAAAATAATAAAAACGCCACTGATGTTAACAATATTAATAAAGTGATGAGTTACTCACTTTTTGAAAATTTTAGTTTTTTTAATAAATTATCGGTACTGATATTTTAGCGTTATGGGTATTTTGGCTTATTTCGGTATTAATATTTTAGCGTTATCGGTATTTTGGCTTATTTCGGTATTGGTATTTTAGCGGTAACGGTAGTTGTGCAGAAAAGGTATTTTAGCGGTAACGATAGCTTGCGATAACGGTTGCTAATCTTGAAGTGAATTAAAGAAATAAAAATCGAATTACACTGTTCTTAATTTAAATTTTTAAAACATACGAAAAACAATAATACCAATGTCATTTTCTTCTATTTAAAAGTTTGCTGATGCATTTACGAACATATTTTTAATTATTTAAATCATACCGAAATTACACTTAAAATATATTTTTTGTACACTACCGATAACCCTAAAATATCAATGCCGAAATAAGCCAAAATACCGATAACGGTAAAATACCAATACCGAAATAAGTCAAAATACCGATAACGCTGAAATACCAAACCGAAATAAGCCAAAATACCGATAACGCTAAAATATCAATACCGAAATAAGTACCTACCATATCACCGTTTCGAAACGGTTGCCTACATTCTTAATTTGCTACATTCTTAATTTCATTTTTTTACGTTCAATATTATAGACAATTCAAAAAGTACCTTTTGAAAAACGAAAAAGTACCAAAAAGTCCCCTTTTATTGGATCTCACTTACTTGGGGTACTACATGCTTAATTTCATATTTCTATGTTCAGCATTTTTTGGATTTATTTAATACAAATTTTAGTTCTTGCAGTGTACGCAAGGTGGATAAGACAAAAGGTTTTAATCGAGGCTAAATAAATTTCAAATCATAATGTCAGAAGCAGCCAACAGATGGAGTTATTTCAAAATTGAATTTTACAATTAGAATTTTTCCATACAAATTTTGACAATTTGTTGAAAAACATTAAGTCACAAGATTTTTTTTTATTTTTCTACTTTTATACATTTTAAAGAATATTTGCCATCTGTTGGTGAATAGCAAAATTAAACAAATTTATTTCTTTGAATATTATATTGGTTTTGTTCTATAAATTGCCATATTGAAATTAGCTAAATCTAATTATTTTTTTGGATTTAATAAATCCAAATTGAATTTACCTCTTTTAGCTACAGAACCGCCATTTTTGCACAGAAATTAATTTTTCTTCGACCTTCTATTAGTTTATACAGTGTATTTTCAGATAGTGATGACCAAAACTAAATTTCAGCTTCCAAAGACAGTTTTTTTCTTGAAATGAAATAAACCGGTTTTTTAAAACATTGGTTTTCGGTTAACCGGGTTATCCGGTTTTTTAGTCTCGGTTAACCGGTTTCAAAAAAATCTAATTTTTAGTACAAAATTGTATGTTTTTTTTTTTTATTTTATATTGTGATTTTTAAAAATTTTGGATAGATAATTCTAAACATTATTTCCCGTTTGTGCATATGAAAACAGACCTAAGATTGTTAAACAAATGTTAGGAAATGTTGAACATATATTATGTATATAAAATGGAGATTTACAATTTCAAACAATCAGGAAATTAATAAAAAGTTGGTGTTTCGGTGTCAATCCGATTTGGTTCAGTGTAAATGCACAAAAAGAATAAAACACAAAGGATTATTAGTTTTATAAAAGGAGAAGATTTGTCTTCCTTTATTTGATATTTACCCTAAGAAAGTATTCACACAAGAAGTGTAGTGAACATTCCATCAAATATTGCTAAAACTTGATATTTCAGGTACAATATTTATATAATTCATTTAATAATAAAATTCTTATATTATTTCATTATAAAATATTTAAATTTTTTAATTTTATCGCATTTAAAATATATAAATAAAATAAAACTATCTAATAAAAAAATAATAATATAAGATAAATAATTAATCTAGTATATTTATAAATATTTCAAAACTAACATATCTACAATTCAAACTAAGTAACATTTATAAATAAGAAATTAAAATATTCAAAACTTTTAACATGCTAATATCAACAATTAAAATGTTAACGATCAGTATAAAAATGTCCCTATAAACAATTTCTACTGTATACAGTACTTATTGGAGAGGTTTGTGTCTTGACTATTCTGTAGATTGTCATCACTTTTTTCAAGTAGCTCATATAGTATGTAGCTACGTATGTACATATGTATGTATGTACATTCCAATCACAAATGAGAGGCTAATTAAGTCTTAACAGCGTGTTAATTCTTTCTTTTTCTTTTTGATCTTCAACGCATTAACATCTTGTAAAGATATCTACATATAGAACAAGTATTTGATAATATTCAAGTTAAAAAGTTATATATTCCGTTATACTTTTAATACAATATTAAAACTAATTTGATTTTAATAAAACTAAATTCATTCCTACGTTCAAAGAAAAGGTAAAATAAAAATTAAAGGAATTGTGTATACCAGTTTGTGTTATTATTAAAATATAATAAATTTACACATCCTACTTTTGGGAACTCTTTTATCCATAAATTTGCACTCAAATTAGTCCACCGGAATATTAATATAACGTGTGATCGATTCATTAATATTAGCCTCAGTGATAATCGGAAAAATTACTGGAAATCTAATAAAATCCTGAGTATATTTATATTTGTTAAATGGTAAATATGACATGTTACACCAATTTTAATAAAATTTAGGTCCTTTTAAATAGATTTCTATAGACAGAAATTTCCATTGTATGTGCTATATTTTCACTGTTTGGAATAGTGAAGAGACAACATTAAGTGAGACACGAGTGACCGTTATGTTATGTGACGTCACCCAAATCCACGCTGCTGACTTACAATAATTTTTATATAATTCTCTATTCGATTCTCTCAGTCATCTCCAACTGTACAGATTAGTGACAGAATTCCAATTTTATCATCGTCACTTCTACTTTTTATTCAACATTCTCGTTATAAAACTCCACCAAATTAGCTTAATATCATCTGTCAGCGATCCACATATTAGAAATCGTAAAATTAAAGAAAATCATTTAGTATAACTGATATAATTATGGTTAGACAATAAGATTTCTAAAACAAATAGTGAAAATCGGTTAAATAATTCCTAAATAATACGTAATGTGTTAGAACTTGTTATAGTTTGGAAAAAAATCTAACTTAAAACATCTAAAGTTAATATTTGTTCTTAAACTCTAATAAAATGTTTACAATAAATAATTAAAAAGTGATAAAATGGCTGAAATGTATTAAACAGAAAAACAAACATGCAAAAATAAAAAAAAATTAAACATCTTAAAGTTTAAAAACCAAAAAGACAACTTAAAACTCAAAAATAATGCTTAAAATCTAAAATTGCACATTGGCCCGAATCACAGTTTACTATATACCACAGTTTCAAGAATTTTTTTATCACAGATTAAATGATTTTCTAACCATAATTAAACAGTTTTATTATAATTTTAAGTTTCTCTTAACATTTTATATTATTAAGATACGATATGGTATGGTATGTATAAAAATGAAATATTTAGCGTTACCCTAATATTAATTTTATCATAAATCCATAATATAGGTTTATGCAAGTATGAAACATTTTTTGATTTAACAGCAACACAACAAAATACAAATATCGATGTTCGAAGAGGCCTCTACGTCATCAGACACAACTGGTTAAATGTTGAATAATATCAGTTGAGTGATCAAACATTTTTTCTCTTAATTCTTATTCCTTACATACATACTTGCATATTTCTTAATAATAGAAGCTACAACCAAAAGCTTGAGTGCAATCAAGCCTGTTTGATATAAATTAAATGTTGTGTTTTGGTTTTTGCTTCTCGCTCTCTGTTTATATATTTTTTTAAGTATCTTTTGCATTTTTTTTTTTTTTTGTAAAATTACGATTTATTTCGGGATACAATCAAGGGACGTAATCCCACGTATCAGTAGTATGTTTTTATATTTGGAAGTAACTTTAAGGAAATTAGATAAATTTGTTAAAATCACTTTTATAATTTCCTGGTGAATGTTCTTAAAAACTAGTATTATTTTAATAGCTTTTCTACTACTTATATAAAATAAGTTTGTTATTTTTTTGAAATGTGAATAAATTAGTTAATTAAAATGGATCTATAAATAATATTTCATTTCTTACGGATGTGAAAGGTTAAGGTTATACGTAATTTTTGGGTTTTAGTTTAAATTTGCCTAGGCTAAAACAAGGTAGGGAGGGTTACGAGGCAATGGCCCCAAAACATCTAGGGTGTCGTATGGTTTTAGTTAAGCTTCATTTTCAGTT